GTGTCTGTGTTCAAATATAGTTTGGGAGACTGCTAACGCATTTTTAAATTAATATTCTTTTTATCATTTATTTTTATTTCAAATTTATGTAGCTCTCAATTTCACAAAATTATTGCATAGTGGACTTTTAAATTTTTTTTAATCACGTACACATTTTAAGAAAACATTAGAAGTGCTTTCTGAGTTCTTTTCTTTTTCTTGCTAATGTATTGATAATGACATTTTATGTATTTTGATTTTAAAAAAAATATGTAGATGTAGATTAGAAAATTAAACTATAATCTTTTTCTAACGTTTATGCTACAGTATCATAGTAAGTAATATATTGCCATCTAGTGGCAATTTATCCAAATTTTTAAATCCTGAGTTATAAACATTCATTTACAGTACTATACACTGAGAAATCAGTTTACAGTTAATAGCATGAACACACAAAATAATACTTCGATGTAGCTCTTTTTCATGGACTACATTGACATAGTAGACAAGATAAACAATACAGGAATCATTTAATCTATAACAATACAAAAATTAACATATAATTTAATAATCTGTATACTAGTAATTTTTTAATACTAGTGAATAGTATAGTAACAATTGATAAAATGCCAATATAGACACCATTTAATAATCTATATACTGAATTCAATATAAAAACACACTCATGAAAAACGGGTTCTTAAAAGATAATTTGGTTATGTCAGTCATTACCTATATCTCACTTTTTTTGCCTTACAGGATCTTGAATAATCTCATCAAAGGCAAATGCATGAACACATTATATGTATCCTTTTTATTGTTGCTTCGGTGTTAACCTTTTGTGCTTTCTCATAGCCGTTGTTATATATTTTCTTTGAAACCCCCGCCCACACACACATACACAATTTTCAGGCATTGTTTGCAGTCCATGAACAGGAGGCAAAACGTCGTAGGCCAAATGTGAAATACTGACTATTATGGTCAAAGTTTAAATATTTAATTCAGCACTGAATAGAATGTTTGCAGGATTTGTACATTATAATGGAACAAATAAGTTTCCCCTCACACATCAATGCTATGTAAACAAATAAAAACACTGATTCCTAAAAGAAATAAGATTATCATTTCTCAGGGTATGAATGTGAATTGAGAATTATTACTTTAATATATAAAATAGATAAATAGCATGTGAAATAAAATTCCTAAATAAGTCTTTCATTTTTACTAAACCTATGTTGTGGGGAAAGCACAACAAAGATAACTTTGTTGGCCCATGAGGGGGAAAAATTTGGAAATAATTTTATTATGATTAACCAAAATCTCTCAATCTCCAAAGGAATTAAGCTTTTATAATTTCCAGAGCTTTTTAACAGTCTGGCTCTTACTAAAAATGTAAAAAGGAGAGAATGTGAGACTCTTTTCTTTCTTGCCATATCTCATACTTTTTTCTTTGCTTAATATGCCTGATAACATCAGATTAACAAACTCTAATATAACTCTATCTTGATGTCCAGGTCTGGGGACTCAAATGCACACTTGGCTTCATATAAATTGGAATTTATTTTGGATATTCCTGAAAATTTCTGCTCATGAAAAAGCATTGCATAGCTTCTTTCTTTCATGATTTTTCTTTTTCCTAGCTAAAAAAAGACAAAAGCAACAGATGAAAATGTTGGGCAGATTACAAATCAAAGGCATCCTATAAAATTCTGTAAAAGAATCTGGACAATTTCTAAATAAAGGATTCACATGAAAACATTCCTTCAGATTTTATGTTTGTGAGTCACTTTGAACAACTGTAAACAATGACCCCAAACAAGGGAAAAAGAGGGTCCAAAAATGAAATAGGAGAAAATTCTATTATATTTCACAACATTCATTCAGTAATTGAAATTTTTAAATATATGATTTTTTTCATTTGATAATTTGAGGAAAATAGATAATTAAAATAATTTGTTACTTAGAATTTAAGTAAAAAATTGTCATATGCGGAATAAATAGTATTGTATTGATAGTACTGTATAAAACATCTAAAAATATCTAGCAAAAGAACATAGCTAAACATAATTTTGCTGCTTTGAATAACACACAAGTCCTAATGTACTAATCTTAAGTAGTTGTCCTAGTTATGTGATAATATGCAGGTGAAACTCAAAAAATTAGAATATCATGCAAAAGTTCATTTATTTCAGTAATGCAACTTAGAAGGTGAAACTAATATATGAGATAGACTCATTACATGCAAAGCAAGATAGTTCAAGCTGTGATTTGTCATAATTGTGATGATTATGGCTTACAGTTCATGAAAACCCCAAATCCACAATCTCAGAAAATTAGAATATTACATGCAATCAATAAAACAAGGATTGTACACAGAACAATATCGGACCTCTGAAAAGTATAAGCATGCATATGTACCCAGTACTTGGTTTGGGCCCCTTTTGCAGCAGTTACTGCCTCAATGAGGCGTGGCATGAAAGCTATCAGCCTGTGGCACTGCTGAGGTGTTATGGAAGACCAGGATGCTTCAATAGCGGCCTTCAGCTCTTCTGCATTGTTTGGTCTCATGTCTCTCATCTTGGCAATGCCCATAGATTCTCTATGGGGTTCAGGTCAGGCGAGTTTGTTGGCCAATCAAGCACAATAATCCCATGGTCACTGAACCAGGTTTTGGTGCTTTTGGCAGTGTGGGCAGGTGCCAAGTCCTGCTGGAAAATGAAGTCAGCATCCCCATAAAGCTCATCTATGGAAGGAAGCATGAAGTGCTCTAAAATCTCCTGGTAGACGGCTGCATTGACCCTGGACTTAATGAAGCACAGTGAACCAACCCCAGCAGATGACATGGCTCCCCAAATCAACAGACTGTGGAAACTTCACACTGGACTTCAAGCATCTTGTAGTGTGTGCCTCTCCATTCTTCCTCCAGACTCTGGGTCCTTGGTTTCCAAATGAGATGCAAAAGTTGCTCTCATCAGAAAAGAGGACTTTGGACCACTGAGCAACAGACCAGGTCTGTTTTTCTTTAGCCCAGGTAAGATTCTTCTGACATTGTTTGTTGTTCAGGAACGGCTTGACAAGAGGAATATGACATTTGAAGCCCATGTCTAGGATCCATCTGTGTGTGGTGGCTCTTGATGCACTGACTCCAGCCTTAGTTCACTCCTTGTGAAAGTCCCCAACACTTTTGAATGGACTTTTCCTGACAATCCTCTCTAGACTGCAGTCATCCCTGCTGCTTGTGCACCTTTTTCTTCCACACTTTTCCCTTCTACATAACTTTCTATTAATGTGCTTTGATACAGCAATTTGGGAACATCCAACTTCGTTTGCAATTACGTTTTGAGGCTTTCCCTCCTTATGGAGGGTGTCAATGATGGTTTTCTGCACAACTGTCAGGTCAGCAGTCTTTCCCATGATTGTGATTCCTACTGAACCAGACTGAGAGACCATTTAAAGGCTCAGGAACCCTTTGCAGGTGTTATGGCTTAATTAGCTGATTAGAGTGGGACACTTTGAGCCTAGAATATTGAACCTTTTCACAATATTCTAATTTTCTGAGATTATGGATTTGGGGTTTCCATGAGGTGTAAGCCATAATCATCCCAATTGTGACACATCACGGCTTGAATTATCTTGCTTTGCATGTAATAAGTCTATCTCATATATTAACTTCACCTTTTAAGTTGCATTACTGAAATAAATGAACTTTTTCACGATATTCTAATTTTTCGAGTTTCACCTGTATATTGATTGTTTCATATGCTATATTTGGAGTTGTATTGATCTCCATATTGTAAAAAAGGATTATGTTTCTGGTATACTACTATAGATTCTAGTAGTGTGGTATACTACTATAGTATGCAAGAATGACATAATACATAATAATGTGAGCAAATTTATACTACAATGTAGTGGTAATGATGGTGGTGATATATTAGTATAGTATTTATTTGGAATCTCATTTTGGAAAAAAAAAAGAGATTCTGCAAAAAAAAAAAATTCTTCAATAGGTTTTTTTGTTTGTTTCTTCTTTTTGACTTCTAGCAGTTCAAATAAAGTCCTTGAATGGCTCTCCCTGTTTCATTTTAACCTTAGTCCACCGACAGAGACATTATTTTCAGGGGCATTTAGATGTAAATTGTAAATGGAATCCTAAGGCAAAATTGTTGTTTCTTAGCAACCCAGATGACTTGAATACAATTATGCACTCAGGCTTCTTTGTGCCACAAATAGACATAAACATCTTCCAGAACAAACACCACTGTGAGTTTTTCTTTTTGCTTGGTTTGCTCTAACATTTTGAAGCAAAGTCTAATACAGCATGAACATTTTGAGAAAAGTGAAGGTGAGTAAAACTATTTAACATGTTTAATTCTACTTTTTACTGTAACTTTACTCTGATTATCTTTAAAATATGTATTGCTTGTTTCAGAGGAAATCATGTGATTGGTCATTACATTCTATATTCTATATCTTATAGTTTTGTTGGAACACAGGCTGTCTAATTTGAGGGCTAACTGGTGATTTCATATATTTATTTGTTACTGATGATTTTCTGCCATTCTTCCCTAAAATAGCTAATTTCGTAGCACTGAGTTTGCTTTATTTTTTTGAGGCTCTGCACAACCCCCCCCCCCCCAAAAAAACCCATGAAGTACAATGGTTGTTTCTCTTTATGAATTGTGTTCTTTAATAAGTTTTCACAATTTTATTAAAAGAGGTTCCTGCTATTTTGCTTTTTGTTTCTCCACCTAATTCTCACAGCGAGTGCCATGTTGAATAAGCTTGAAATGTGCCACTTCTAGTTATTAGTTCTGAGAGTATTTTATTGAAGGACATTCTCATGTAAATGTAATAATATGAACTTGTGAAAATATGAGTATACATGAAAGGGAATTCTTGTAATATTAAATGTTCATATTAAAATAATACATGTATTCACTACCGTAGAATATCAAATTAATAACCAATAATAATAAATTTTATTTTTAAAAACTTCTTTCAGACTTAAGGAAAGAAGTATGTTTCCCAGTGCCCTTATCAAGAAGCCATCCATATGTTCTTTTGACTCAAAAGAAAAATTTGCTACAAACCTGGAGTTAGCATTAGAACGAAATCAAATCCGTATATCGCAGCAGTGCAAAGCCCCTCCAGTAAGACAAAGATGGATGTGTCAACCACCAGATTTTAGCTATAAAGTGTATTTATCTTCACATAAGCCAGTTGGAAACTACCAAGAGCTGAAAACAAAGGAAAAAAAGAAGACATTTTTTGAAGAATTACATAAAATAAGATCAGGATTGATTATCCCAGTCACTGAAGAGGTCAAACAAACAAAGATTGCTACCAGGTTTCCTTATACAGGCTCCAATGAAGCCAAGTTAATATCTGTGAAGATGGGAAAATTTACTAGCAACAAATATGAAGATCCCAAACCATATGATTACAGACAGGTAAAAGTTCAGCTGAGGCTGAAGCAATTATCTGTATAATTGTCCTATCTGGAACTTATGCTACTTTATACAGGGGATCTCAATCCTATTTTGTATTGGGCTATAAAAGAGTAACAAAGATAGGGTATCCTTTGAGGCTCGAAAACCAACAAGATGGGGGCTAAGACCACTCAACTTACCTACTTTTGAACATGATTGGCAGACACAACACATATAAAAAGGGGGACTGTTCTATTGCCAGAACAAAGTAGACTGGAGACCGGAGTTGAATTCAGCTCTTTATTTACAGTCAGTAACTTCAAGTAAACTCGAGCCGCGGCAGCCTCTTTTATAACGGCTGCTCACGGCTCGCAACCAATGGCATCATTTTAAACCTCCCGCCGTTTAGGCGGCCAATCATAATGCATTGTTAACCACCAATCACTAGGCGGTATTGGTTGTCCAATCAGAACGTAGTATTACGAGTATGTAAATGTCTATATACAACAGGGACTTTGTCTGAACTGCTACTTTGAACTCTGTAAGTGTCCTCCAACAATTTTTTTAAAAAATGCATTTTTTTTGCAAATTAGTACACTTGCAGCAAAAGCCTTGGCCAGATGAAGATTGTGATATGGATCACATTTAACTGCCCTTTGGGAAGGTTAGTTATGTGGCTAATAACATCTTTGAAAAATTGTTAGAAGCCTTGGGGTTCTCAGAAAATTCTTCAACTATTGGAATATTTATCTTCAGTCCCCTTGCTCAGTTTGTGCCTGGAAAATTTTTGAGTTTTTTTTTTTTATCAGACTCAAGTACTTTTAGTTCAACTTAAAATTTATTTCTTCCACATATGTTCCATGGATTTTCTCTACTCATTCACAGCATGAATTAGTTGTAAATTAGCCCCTCTGTGATATTTTTAAATAAGCAATATTACTTTTATTGCTGCGAAGCTTTGAGAACACAGCTGAGACAATAACCTTTTCCAATGTAATGTTTTCATGCAAGAACTATTTTTGAAATGATTCACATATGGAAATTATTTCACTGATTATTATTATTTTTTTTGTATTCCATAATATCCTTCATAGGGAGGGAGGTCTCTTTGTAGTTCATTTGTATTGCCTGCATGATTGTTACAAAAGATAGATTTTTGAGAAAACATGGCACCTCCCCAGAATGCACCAAATAGAAATTTATAATTGTGATTAAGGATGTTTTGTCGGTTTCCTTATTGGCTTCTAGACTTACAAGATTGACGTCAGCTCTCATAATCTGATAGGAAACATGACCAGATGCACTAATTCTACTTTATTGTAAGGCTACATTAACAGAATTTTGCAAGTCTGAAGGTATAAACTTCCTGCCACCACTTCTAACTGCTTGATTAATTAGGGTGGGTCTTTCCTAAGTTTCTTTCTTTGATCTATAAGCCATTGAAAGGGGGCTCCTCCTTCTCCTGTCTGACTGTTTTCTAGGTAGCATCTCTTCTCCTTATCCCCTCAGGACATCCAACTATTCCATCACGTATTGTGAACTTAATTTTAAGGGACAAAATAGTTCTATCCAGAATCAATTGAATAACATCACCTTTTTTGTTGTTATGGTTGAAGCTGAAGTATTCATTGACAGGTAGGACATTGCAATGTATGATTTTATATACCATACTTAGATCAAACCAAAGACGGCGTAATTCAAGGTTTTCTAGGTCTAGAATTTCACGTCTGGTGGCATAAGGTATTCTGCAATGAGTAGAGGAGTGGAGAACTCTTCTTGTGAAATATTTCTGGACTTTCTCAACTGTGCTAATATCAGATACGTAATGTGGGTTCCAGACCGATGAGCTGTATTCGAGTATTGGTCTAGCAAATGTTTTGTATGCTCTAGTTAGTAGTGTGATATTACCAGAGAAAAAGCTATGTAGGATTAGGTTAACAACTCTTAATGCCTTTTTGGCTATGTAGTTACAGTGAGCTCTAGCACTTAGATCATTAGAGATGAGTATTCCAAGGTCCTACAGAGCTTGGATCATCAACAAGGTCTTGACTATTCAGCTTGTATTTTATTTTCTGATTTTTTTTGCCAATATGTAAGGCAGAGCATTTGTTTGTTGAGATTTGAAGTTGCCATTTGTTTGACCATTCTGATACATAGTCAAGATCTTTTTGAAGGGTAGCAGTATAGTCTGTGGTATTGAACAGTTTTACATCATCAGCGAAAAGAATGCAGTTGCTCTTAATATGATCACAGAGGTCATTTATGTAGAGTATGAAGAGAGTTGGTCCTAGAACACTGCCTTGGGGGACACCACTATTGACAGGTACATAATTTGATAGGACACTCCCAATTTTGACCATTTGTTGTCTGTTTGACAGGAATGCTTCTATCCAGTTATGTAGTTGTCCAGAGATACCATAAGATTTTAGTTTTAGGAGTAGTTTGTCGTGTACCACTGAATCAAAGGCTTTACAGAAGTCTATGTAGATTGCATCTATTGCTTTGCCCTGATCAAGTTGTGTTGTCCATATGTTTTTGCAGTGTAAGAGTTGCAGATTACAGGATAGTTTTTCCTGAAAACAAATTGTTTATTAGAGAGTAGGTTGTTTGTCTCTAAGTGGAGGATAATGGATTGGTTAATAATTGATTCCATGACTTTACAGGTGACGCAGCATAAGGAGATTGGTCTGTAATTTTCAACAAGGCTGGGGTCTCCCTTTTTGAAGATGGGGATGACCGTGGCTTGTGACCATAGGTTAGGCAAGAAGCTGGTCCTGAAAGATTTTTCAAAGATTATGTTTAGAGGTTCAGCTATGGCAGTGGATAGCTTTTTAAAGAAGTAGGCGCATATTCCATCCGGTCCAATAGATAGAGATGGTTTTAGATTGCGCAGTGCTTTTTCAATATTGTCTTCAGTAAAATCAATATGTATTAGATCATTGTAGTTGTCTGTTGTTCGGCTAGGAAATACTGGGCATGATCCATTGCTGATCCAAATACTGAGCCAAAGAATGTGTTAAAGATGTTGGCTTTAATGGTGTCATCGTTGCAGTCTTTACCATTAGGTCCTGTCAGGGGTGGGATGGACCTTGAGTCTTTTAGTTTGTTGTTTACAAAATTGTAAAAAGCGCGGGTGGAATTGGTGCTTAGAAGGTTTTCCTCTTGTTTAATGTGATAATTGGTGCATTCAGTCTTTATCTGGTGGCATAAATTTTTGTATCGTCTTTTGAAATTGGCAACGTGACCAGATTTGTTTTTCCGCCAGAGTGATCTCTTTTGGGATTGAAGTTTCCTTATTGTTATGGGTAATCTGTTTTTTTTTTTTGTTTTGTTTTGGGAGTTGTTGGTACATATAGTTTGATGACTCTTTTGACTTCAAGTAAAGATATGTTGTAATGATCTTCAACAGTATTGTATCCAGTGAATAGAGATTGCCAATCAAGGGATGAGATATCGTTGTCTATAAGATCATAGTTGCCTTTTTTGAAGTTATAATTGGGGATTATGTCATTGTGATGATTTCTGTGTGGGCGTATGTTGAGACAAAAGTCAATCATATTATGGTCACTGCTGGAAAAGGGTTCTTTAGTTTGCATTCCGTAAATTAAATTCAAACTATTGCAGAAGATGAGATCGAGGCAGTTGTTTAGTCTAGTGTTGTTGGTTACTAGTTGTTCCAGTCCCAGATTTGTAACAGCATTGTAGAAGGTTGCGTGTATGGGTACAGTTGTACATTCATTTAGGGTCCAGTTAATATGAGGTAGATTGAAGTCACCAAGAAAGTTAAAAGCGTGTGGGCAGGATGCTGCCCATGTTAGTAGTGTATTTAGCTTGTTTACATGTTCGATGTCATAATCAGGTGCTCTGTTACATAGTAAGAATCGAAATGTGATATTTAAGGATAGTTCACAGATGATGGTCTCAGGAAGAGCAAGCTCCTGGGTAACTTGGATGTTTTTTAGATGTAGGGACTTTTTATAGAAGATAGCAACACCACCTCCTCTACGAATTTCACGATCTGATCGGTAAACATGATAGTCTCTTACTGTGGTAATGGAGTCAGGGAGAGATGCATTGAGCCATGTTTCACAGACAAATATGATGTCGAATTTAGCCATATTTAGTAAGAGGAGAAATTCAGGTATTTTATTTGCAAGGCTTCTTGCATTGAGTAGCTTGCATTTAAGGCCAGCAGTAGTTGGAATTGAGGTAGTTAGGGGCATGCGTGCCTAGTCTTAGGTGATGGTGGATTGGTTGAGGTAGGGTTGTGATTGAAGGTTAAAGCTGAGTTGCGGGTTGTGTGACTTACTTTTGATACAGTCAGCATGGTAGTCAATGTACAGGTCCTTCTCTCCATTGTCTGGATGTTTTTTGAGTTCAGTGCGGAGTACACGGGAGCGGGCACGTTGCTGTATGGTTAGGTCAGGGCAACAACGGAGGTTCTTATGGTTGGTGTTGGTTTTGGTGAGTGAATTTATAGTGTAAATGAATTTACGTTTGCTTGATTCATTTTTGCAAATGACCCCGCAGAAGCGTGGGGCCACAGAGCCATCTCTCTTTTTGAGCTCTCGGCCAATGTGGGAAATGTCAAGTATTTCATCAGGGGAGATGGTTGATGCTTGATAATCACTTATGATGTTTCGGACAGTTGTGATGTCATCATTATCATTGATGTCCCTAGACCAAATAAGATGGCATTTGGACGTTTCTGTTCACGCTCAACAGCTTCTCTGGTGAGGATTGGGATATCATTATTTATTTATTTTTATTTATTTGATTTGCCAATTGTTTACAAGATAATAAGTATAAGTGTATACATAGTTGTGAATACATGAAATGGGTACATATAAGAAAAATAAAAGAAGAATAAGAGAAACAATAGGACAGGGATGGTAGGCACATTGGTGCGCTTATGCACGCCCCCTACAGACCTCTTAGGAAAGGGGTGAGGTCAATAGTAGACAGTCTAAGGTTAAAGTTTTTGGGGTTTGTCTGGCTTATGTTTTTTTGTGGATTGGGTTGTGGATTGGGTTGTGGTTGTTGGGTAGAGATGTGGTTTGTAGCTATTGGATGTTCAGGTTTTTGCGATGTATCTTTTTTTTCAAGGTTGGATAATCTTTCTCTTAAGGCATCCAGGGATGCTACTATGGTGTCAAGGGATGTTATTCGTGTTTCAATGGTATCAACTCTTTCCAACAGATCCAGTTTGGGTCTGCATGATTTGCAGAGATATGGAAACTCATTGGATGATTCTAGGTATTGAATCATTTGCTTGGGTAATTCCAAGCAGTCATGATGAGCGTATTTATTTATTCACCTTGCTGGTAGTTATCCTCTTCTTCTCAAAGGTACTTTTTCAAAAAGTAACTGGACTGTTTTTTCTTTAAGGAAGAAGAACATCCAAGATGCTTCATCAGTTGTGAGGGTAGTTGGGGAGGAGGAATGGAAGGATAGGTATTGACAGTTGAGACTGAATGGTGGAGGATGGAAAGATACATTCTAACCAGATGGTGTGGGAGGGAAATGGAAGGGTTTTATTTCTTTGCACTGATCTGGTATGTTAGCATTCTCCCTGAGAGTTCTTGAGGCCACTCTTAGCCCTCAGGGTTACATGAATCAGAATGTAATTGGTTATGGAATTTTCTTGAACGTGTTGTAGCTTGAAGATAGGTTGTGCCTTATCCCTCCCTCACTGTTGCGAATGGCCTCTTTTACCTCTTTTTCAAAAGGATACTAAAAACCTATCTTTCCACTGCCCACCATGCAGTCTCGACTGTCAGTCCATCATCCTTCCCCCCCATTCACCCCACCACCACAACTGATGAAGCTTCTTGGATGAGAAGCAGAATGCCTTATTCTTCTTCCTCAAGGAAAAACAGTCCAGTTGCCTTTTGAAAAAGCATCTTTGAGGCAACTATGACCTGGTGAATGAGAATGTCTCCACAGACAATCCTCTTCTTCCTTTCCTTCTATCTCTCCTAGCATTAGAAGCTCTCCAGAGAGTTAGATTTGCACTTAATGTGTCCAAAGTAAGGTTATTTGAGAATTGTTCCTAAATTGTTTAATATTAATTTGTTTATTTTAGAGTAATTATTCAAAAGATCTACCAATGCAGATTTGAGATTTAAAAACCAAGAAAAAAAAGTCTGAATAAATAAATACCAACTAATAAAATTAAAAAGGAAGCAAGAGAGGGAGCAGCTAAATTTCAAATCAGAGTATCATTACAGGAGGTTATAAAAAGGAAAAGCCACTTGTCAGTATGACAAAGTTTTTACTGTCCTAATGAACCATTATGAATGCTTAATTGGAGGATAGTTCATGAAATACGTCTTTAGAGTTGCTTGCCATTAAAACCATATTGTATTCCTTTGTTTATTTCCCCTCTCCCTTTGCAGTATGAACAAGGAATACCAGATTTTGTGACAAGTTATACCAGGGATCCTTTAAATCTAAAGTTCAAATCACAAAGTTTAAGCAAAAGTAAGTCTTTGCTGATGTATTAAGGTAAGTATGAAACTTCACATGGAGCATATAAATATTACAGTTTAGGCATAATCTTCTCATATTAATAGATATTGGAATGAGGATACTTCAAGAAGTCAAAGAGGTGCTTGAAATTTGATCTATGACCATTAATTTTCTGGAGTGGAAACATACGTACATGGGTTGAGCCCCATGTAGCTATTTATTTATTTTTTAGAACAAGTACAAGAAAGGTTAGCTGTTAGTGATTGTTAACAAAGTATTTGTTATGAATTCCATTTGGCACTCTATGTTTAAGATTCATGTGCCAAAATTAATTCATGGAGATGTTTAAAGTTAATATAAGTTATACTTATATTAATAAGTATAAAATTCAATGAAGTAGCCCCAATTTTTCACTTTTATGACATGACAGTCTAAGCTATACATTATATTCTCCATACTTCACAGATACAAAAATAGCAATGTTAAATGATTGATTGTGATCCATGAAACTGTACCTTTGGTGGAAAATGGAATATCTGCTGAAGTTCTTCCAAAATTTCACAGAAGACTTAACTGGACATAGATTACCATAGTTAACAATAACAACACTACACAGAATAGTTTGGGGTGTACTATGGTAATGTGGAACAATTATGTTGGTCAATAAGTTTCAAATGGGTAGCTTGTGTCGTAGCGGTATAGCATGCGATCTTTAAGCTCTAAGATCGCTGCTGATATCTCCATTGCAGGGCGGTCCTAATGGACCTAAACCATCCCATAGAGACGGTGACAGAGGAGGGTACATCCTGTCAATCCCAGGGACATTGCAAAGTCCCTGGTAGATCCAGGAGAAGCCCTTTTTTCCCATGGTGGAGAGGCAGCCATTAAAGCTGCTGAAGCTGGGACAGCTCCGGAACGGAAGAAAGCTGGAAAGAAAGTGTGTCAGTTTGATGCGATAATTTTCTACTTATTTTTTTTCTGGAGAGAACACCCTAAAAGACTAAAAATTAAATTTAAAAGTGAAGATAAAAGTGCTCAAGCAGTGAGATTAAGCACAAATTAAACCTGATGTTTTTTTTTTCCTTTTTATTGGAACCTTGGATTTTGTTAAAACTTTTTTAACTTTTAAACTGGACTGGTCTTTCCTTTTTAATTTTTATCTTTTCCCTTCAAAATAACTCTTTGGAAAAGTTTTTTATTCTCTTGCTTTTTCTTTTTAATAATTTTAGATTCTTTATATTTTTTATTATTCCTGATTTTAATATTAGAGGGGAAGGGAAAGGAAAGGGAAATAAGTAGTGCTGCCACCTGGAGGCTTGGATACATTGTTTTCCTTTCTTTCTTTCTTGTTGATACATTTGCTGTTACATTCAAGGACTCGGTGCTTTTCATTGAAACGATAGTGGGAAGAGCATGTAGATTGTTTGCAGGTGCTCTTCTGTGAAACTACTGATAGCTGGAGTCTGGATTTGAAATTGAAGAAAGAAGATTGAAGTGACCTTGAAAAGAGAACTGGAAATTTTGTTTTTTGATTTAGTAAAGAGCCTCAAACATATAGTGGCAGTGCTTTGCTTGTTGACAAAATTGCATTTTCTCTTTCCCTTTTTTTCTATTGTCCCCCCCCCCCCAGTTGGATTTTTATATTTAGACTTATGCAAGAATAAGACTACTTCCCCCCTCCCTTTGTTTTACCTCTTCGGCAAGGGGAATATACAGATTTCTGTCTTTTAAAATCTTTTCTTAATTTTTTTCTTTTTTCATCCTTTTTCCATTTTATATTTTTTTCTTTTTTTCTTTTTTCCTACATAATTGGAACCAATTGGATTAAGGTATTCAAGTACCTGAAGATTTTTTCCTTCCCTCTTTTATTTTTAATTATTATTATTATTATTTTTACTGGAGTGGCAATTGGCTGCTCTTGCTTTTTCTATTCAATTTTTATATTATACTTCAAAATGAGCAGAAAAATACCACCCTCAGCTTCTTCAATCCCGACTTCTTCTTCCTCACCATCTGGAGGACAACGATCAATACAGGTGATGTTACAACAGGAGAAGGAGAAAGAAGTGAGATGATTATGCAAGGAATTCAAAAGATACAAGTAAAAACAGATAATGTTGAAAAGAGAATGGAGAATATTGAGCAAAGAATGGAAAAGACAGATGAAAAAATAGAAAATATTCAACAGATGATGATGCAATACGAGGACAGAATTAAGAAAATTGAAGAACAAGATGTACAAAAGATAAGAAAATTGGAGATATGGACACCCGATTGAGTGAAGTGGAAAGAGATAAGGGCAGATCTCTGCAATCATTGGGATGGGAAATTGATAGATCAGAATTCTATCTTAGATGTCAAAATATAGAAGAAGAAAAGGGTGAAAACCTTGTTGAAATGATGACAGAAATTCTGGCAGAAGCATTAGAGGTAACTAAAGAGAAGATAGTGGATGGAATGGACAAGGTTTTTTGTGTTTATACAAGATATGCGATGAGAAATAAACTGCCAAGAGAAGTTCATATCAGATTTACTAAGAAAATAATAAAATCACAAATACTGCAGGTGGCAAGAGAAAAAACACTAAAGTACAAAGATAAAGAAATAGTGGTACTGAAACAGGTACCGAGAAGAGTGAGAGAGATAAGAAGAGAATATTTATTTTTGACCAAAGAGTTACTTAAGAGAGGAATAAATTACAGATGGTTGATACCTGAAGGTCTCATGTTTACCTGGCAGGAACAAAGACACAGAATTGATACAGTTGAAAAAGCAGAGTTATTCTATCTGGAATATTTTAGAGGAAGGGAGAAAGATACAAGAAAAGAAGAATCATTAATTGAATTTCAAGAGGAATGTACAGCAGCAATTGAAAAAGAGGAAGGAGCCATAGGTGGTGTACCCAGAGAACAACGAGAACCAAGATCTACTAGAGCAACAAATCCTTCTTACAAAGTCTAAAATGGATGAGAAAAAAATGATTACAATTAATATAAATGGGCTTAATTCAGCTATTAAAAGAAAAGTATTTCATAAGTTAGAGAAATTAAAATTTGATATAATCTGCCTACAAGAAGTACATATTAAAAAACAACATGATTATATATTGAAACAACAAAAATTAGGGAAATTATTTACAGCGTTAACACATTGTAAAAAGAGAGGAGTGGTGTTATACATTAGAGATAGAATCCCTGCAGAACAAATATATACAGATGTTGATGGAAGGATTTTGATGGTTGAGATAATGGACAATAATCTAAAGACACTTTGAATAGCAATCTATGCTCCAAATGATAATCAAGAAGATTTTTACAGGAAATTACATAAGAAAATATTGAACTGGAATATGCTAATATCTGTCTGATGGGAGATTTTAATGGAACAATAAATAACAAATTGGATTATAACACACAAAAAACAGCAAAGAAAACTAGAAAGACATTGCCAAAGTCCTTCTTTCGAATGGTAGATGAGATAAACTTAAAAGATGCATGGAGAGAGAGAAATGCAGAAAATAAACAATATACCTTTTATTCAAATAGACATGCATCGTGTCTAGAATAGATATGATATGGATGTCAACAGAATTGCTTTCTAACATACAAGACATTGAAATAGAAGCAGATCACAATCCAATAACACTTCTATGGAAAGGACAAAAAAGGAGATCTAGATGGACTTTAAATAATATGATATTAAAGGAAAAAGACTTTAAACAGAAAATTCAGAGAGAATTGACTTTTTTCTTTAAAGAAAATACAAAAGAGGATACATCATTACAGAGCCTCTGGGACACAGTGAAGGCTTATACAAGAGGTTTGATAATGAACTATACAAGGAAAAGAAATATAAAACAGAATTTTTTAAAAAAAATATTGGAAGAAGACTACAAGAAGTTGGAAAAAGAACTACAGAAATTTCCACAAAAAAGGACATTAAAATGGACATAACTAAGCATAAAATGGGTCTAATGGAAAAAGAAGAAATAGCACAAAAAATTAAAAATGCTAAGCAGAATTATTTTGAAGATGCAAATAAACCAGGCAGATGGCTAGCATATAAATTGAGAAAGGAAAGAGACTCGAGAAGAATAAATCAATTGATAAACGAATAAGGACATGTATGCTATGGAAATGCGGAGAAGAAAAAAAGTATTCAAGATTACTATGGAAAACTGTACCATCAAGAGAATGTTCAGGAAGAAAGAATTCAACAATACTTACAGAAAGCAAATTTGCCCCAGATACCCAAAGATATTGAAACAATGTTAGAAAGTAATATAACAATGATGGAATTAACAGAAGCTTTAAAAAAGCAAAACATTGGGAAAGCACCAGGTCCGGACGGTTTGCCAGTGGAATTTTATAAGACATTCCAGGAAACATTGAATCTTCACTTATTAGAAATTATGAATGAAGTTATGACAAAGAAGAGAATACCTGAAACATGGTCAGAAGCATATATAACACTTGTACCAAAGAAGGACACAGACCCACAGCAAGTTAAAAATTACAGACCTATATCACTATTAAATTCAGATTATAAAATTTTTGCTTCAATTCTGGCAGAAAGACTGAAAAGATATTTAAACAATTTTATTCATCCTGATCAAAATGGATTTCTTCCGAAGAGACAGATTAAAGATAATATGAGAATAATTTTAGATACACTGGAATACTATGAGGCACATCCTGAAAAACAAATGGCTCTGATGTTTATAGATGCACAAAAAGCCTCTGATAATGTGAATTGGCATTTTATGCTGTTACAATTGGACCAAATGGGCTTTGGTAAAAAATTTACTCAAGCCATCGAAACGATATATCATAAACAAACTGCAAAGGTTATGATAAATGGAGAATTAACAGAATTTATAGATATAATAAAAGGGACCAGACAAGGCTGTCCAATGTTGCCTCTGTTGTTTGTGTTAACACTGGAAGTGCTGAATAGGAACATCAGAGAAGAAAAAGAAATAAAAGGAATGAAAATTAAAAAAGAAGAGTATA